ATAAGTGAGATTGAAGTTGGTTTGAAGCTAACACAGCGTTTTTGTTTCGGCATAAAATTGCCGTATCATCGGCAAACGTTGTGGTGATAACTGAACTACTTATCGGGATATCAGATGTGTAAAGTACATACAATATAGGGCCAAGAACACTTCCTTGTGGAACGCCAGCTTCTATTGGGAAATTATTAGAAGTATAAGATTTGCATTTCACTTTAAAGCTTCTATTATGCAGATACGATTCTAGAACTGAGTGGACATTTGCAGGTAATGAATAGCGTATCTTATATATGAGTCCATTATGCCATACTTTATCAAATGCTTGTTTAACATCGAGGAATACCGCGGAACAATGTTCTCTGAGCTCAAATGCGTGTCTTATTTCATTCGTTATACGATTCACTTGCTCAATAGTTCCATGTTTTTCCCTAAAACCAAACTGGTGGGACGGTATTAAGTTTTGAACGTCAAGGAACGGTTTTAGCTTGGTTTTAGAAAGGCATGGCAGTAAGCTTATTGGCCTGTATGAAGAGGCAAGCGTGGGGTCTTTACCTGATTTATGAATCATGATAATCATGGATGTTTTCCACTCTGTTGGATAAAAGCCAAATTTAATTATGGCATTAAAAAGTCTTGTGATAAAATTTATGGCCAAAAGGGGTAAGTTTTTTATCATGATGGGTGAGATATTATCATATCCCGGTGCTTTTTTGCAATCTAACTTATTTGTGATTATTTGGACAAGATCATTGGCCGTGATATTCATGTCAATAGATGGTGCTGGTGGATCTTGAGTAGGAAAGTCATATTGTCCTGTTGCAGGATTTGGTTGGAACACCCCCATTAAATGAATTTAAAATAATAAAGTTGATTTAGATATTTGACACCTTTGTAAGCCAAAGTTTAATAAAAGTGCCTTTAGGTCATACTTCTATGAATTATGCTTAATTGGTTTCATTATCACGAAAACAATTATAAACGATGCCATAAATTTTTGGATCTCTGTATCTAGAACTTATTATTTAGGAATGATTAATAGAATTCTTCATTAAAAATTAGCATGGTAAATATTTGTTAGAACTACGACACACAGAGTCAACGTTCTCATCCCATTTAGCCGTGGGTTTGATAACGTTTTAAAAAATTGTTAAAAAATACTTAGGGACTCTGTCCCAGGAATATAGCGTTAAACACTCTTTGTATTTGCAAAAACGCTTATAAAATTTACTTGGAGATTTCACAGTATTTGGTATAGCTAGGGATGAACAGGTAATTCAATGGCTTACAGCAAGTTAGATTAACCTAACCTAAAGTGCGTTCGACTTGTAATCTATAGAAGTATAATAATAATTACACACACGAGTATAAAATATTTTAATTTAACACCGTTTAGTATAAGCTCTTAAATTTGGTTAGGTTTAGGGGCGAGTGTGTGTCTGATTCCAAGTAGCTAGCCTTTGTTTTCGTTGCTAAATGGAATGGAAATTTAAGGACACACCGTTTCAGCCAATCAACATGTTGGACAGTGGCGGAATTAGACTACCTCTGGGCGTCGGCGAGATCAGATTTGCGAGGCCTTTCTCATTACCTAGTTATAAAAGTAAATAAGTTACATTCACCAATACGACGAAATTTTATTGCTAATCAAATTAAAATAAATGAAATTTGCACATTCCTGAATTTTTTTAAAATTAAATCATAATTTGCACTAGCAGCTATTTTCGCTTCAAGTGATAGAATTACAAATGCAGATAGTTTCTCTTGGCTATTCGTACTTCACAAGTAGGTCTTAATCATTTTTAACTTCAAGAAGCTTTATTCAGCAGAAGCTGTACTGACTACTATTATACCTAAGGCATTATGATGCCTGACATATGAAACCAAATTGTTTAAAATATCCATTAAGTGCTTTGAATCGACAGTCGGTTTCAATTATGGTAGTATCTACCATAATTTCTTTTATGCTTTTATTTTTTCTTTCTATTTACTACTTTTTCAAATCCAGTAATGTGGTAGTATTTTACCCTGTTACGAAGTGATGTAAACTATCTTTACGAAGTGATGTAATAGAGATATTTAAATCAACTTCATTTGATTGCCATAGTTAATTTATATTGTTCACTCGTAGTAAAATTTCGCACCACACTTATATTGCAGCAATGAACTCCAAAGGTAGCATTTCATTCAAGATTATTTCAGAATCATCAGTTTTATTTCTCAGGTCTTCCACGCATCCAATAACATCATCATCATCAGATTTTAAGGCCAATTTTAATTTAGTCAAGCAAAAGAAAAATCTATTTGTCGCATCCATAAGAAGTGAAAAATGCTCTTAGGACAGTATTCAGGATTTTTGTTCCAAAGTCTTTATTAATGCCGCGCGACCATATTAGCACCATTATCATAACCCTGTTCTCGACAATTTTGGATATTTAAACCCTTTCTTTTAATTCTTGAAGTATTGAGTTTGATATATACTCTCCCGTCGTTTTTGCGACAGCAATAAACACAACAAAGTGTTAATCTATTCCCCTATGGTTGAGGAATAGTAAAATCTGTCCATAATTTCGTCAATAATTGTTTTGAACATTAATATAATTAATTCATTCTGGATTCCGTGGCACAAATAATGTTAAGTATTTTCTTTCTCATTAACATGTTGCAAGTGCGCCCGTAGTGTTAGATTATATTTGGATAACAACTCAAGGGGTTCTCAATTAGCTCTAAATGATAGATTCAGAGAGGCTAAAAATTTTATTATGTCAATCAATCTTTCAATCTTTCAAACAAATTATACCAATACTTTTGGGTTTTCTTATCAATTTCTGGCTTTCCTCATCTATGATTTTTGAGTGTGTGATTTGTTTATAAAATTCTATCCAATCAATTATGCAATCCGTGTGTCCTTGACTTTGTTCATGTTTTTGCAATATACGACTTAAATCTTTCCAGTCACAGCATCCTTTTTTTAATCTGTGTCTGAATGTGCGAAAAAAGTCTATATGGAAAGGAATAGATTTTTTCTTGGTATTTTGAGTAAACTAACGTTAGCGCCACCACTGATGTTGGGTTCACATGGGTGCAGTTTAGAAACAATGGGTGCAGACAGAACAATTATTCTCATATATTTTCTAATATATAAATAAAGACGAATAATAATGTTCTACGATTTGAGTTGCAAAGATATGAGCACATCTAACAACTATCACTATAAAGTGATCTCTGGGTTTTTCATTGCTTTTGACCAAGTTTTATTACAAATCTTATTATTACCATCTTATTTTATTACCATCTTATTTTAAAAAAGACTTGATTCGAACAACCCACATCCTAACCATATTTGTTTTGTGCTTCCAGTTATATTGATGATGAAATTTAAATTGTTGCATTTGCTTTTAATAGCTCAAATATATACGCATTTCTTATTGAATGACACTCCAAACAACTTTAATCATTTTGGGTATCCTTTTATAATTGGAGTCCCCAACTCTTCTGCTTGAAATGAAGCCTCAAATTGTAGCATATTATTTTTAAAATTTAACACTTAAAGTGATGTATAGTGATGTAATAACAATGCAAACACCTTAAACCATGCTCCCTTATTATAGCATAGCACAATTTATGCCTCATAGGAGATCACAACGCAATAAATTTTCACTAAAAACTGTTGATATGTGTTTGTTCCGCGTTATGACCAGTCGCCCAGTTATATAAGAAACAACAACAATATATTCTTCCCTGAGTTTCATAGTATGGATCCTGATCCAAATTTCCGGATTTTTTCCGATTTTCGTTATGATAACTTATTCTAATTATACTGTGAATGTGGGCTTAATGCCAATTTTATACTTTGGTTCTAATCTACTCTTGCATTCAGCTAGATTTAAAATATTATATTATATATATTATTAGTAAAATATTTCTGATAGCTTCAGCACACTCTTTCCCCAAGCGGCGGCTATAATACACGAACTGTTCCATTCCAAACGATAACGTTTCATCTTGCATTTTAAAATATTAATAGTTTCGCTAGTGAAGTTAAAAAATTAGAAAACAACAACTAATTAAGTATCAACATCTCAGACAAGAAATAACATGAATACACAAATTGTGTAAACAATTACTTGACAATCAAAAAATGATGTAGTACTCGTATTTGTGTTTGTTATATTTTGTGTTCCTTTTTCAATAATTTAAAAAATTTTTTTATGTTTATATTCTTAATATTGTAATTAACAAATATTTCAAATAAAAAACATACATATGTATACACTAAAATAAAAAGTTCTTTTTTTTGAATATATAAACTCATATTTGACATACTGTATATAATGTTGCAATATATGTATGTACATATATGTATAAATATAATACATATAATATAATAATATAATATTGGCAAATATTTTATATGCAATTCTTATTTTGCTTTAAAAAGTTTCTTTATTTTATTAAATTCAAATGCTCATGTATACATTAAAATCGTTAAAAGGGAAACATATGTAAGAGTATATATGCAATCATAAATAGCAAATCGCTATGTACATTATTTATAAAAGTATTTTTGAAATTCGTAAGTGTTAGAATAGAAATAACAAATAAAATGCACTTTTACTTTCACTTGGGTACCCCAATAGAGCCACAATTGTGCCATACACCAGATGCTCGATCATACCGTTTTATATAATCTCAGTTTCAATATTTATAATAGTATTATTAAAGGTCATAATATATGTTCGTATGTATATAAACACATAATTTGTTAAAAACAAAAATATCGTTTCATAATCTTTGTATAAATTCTACAAATTAATTTTGTATCAAAAAATCTTTCTATATATAAATTATTTGTATAATAATATATATGTATATTTGTGTATATATACATTTATTTATATATAAATATATATATATATATATATATATTTCTTTTGTTTTGGCGATATTTGGACACAAACAAATTTTAACTCGTAACTTTAAATTGTACATTAAAAATTTAAAAATACAAACACAACAACTCTTTTATAAATTGAACAGATATTAAAAATACAAAAAAAAATTAATGTCAACCTTTGTGATCAGTCAGCTGAATTAGAGATCATCATCGCCAATACCTTCAAATGCTTCATTATGCACAGACTCCTCAGCATTTCTAAAGAAGACTGCAGAGTATGAATGGGCAGTGGATATTTTGGGATTGTGTTTTGTGCGACGCTGTGTGGCAATAAATTTGACCGGAGCCGTTGGTGACGAGGTCGAAGATGATGTGGATGTGTTCGATGATTGTTCATTAGACAGAGAATAGGACGATTGTGATATACGAGCGTTGCGTGAATCATAAGAAGGCGGTGGAGAGTTTGTGTAGTTGGTAGAATTGTTTGATTTGGTGTCCAATTGATTCGAGTCCTTAAAATTTAGTAATTCGTCCACCATCGATTGTAAGCACACGGACATCAACATTGTTTGAGCACTAGTGATTGTTATCCAGCGTAGAGTTTGTTTAGACATTAAATATTCGAAGGAAAGTTGTAAGCTTGAAGGATTGTCTTTTGATTCGAGTGAATTATGCATGGCAGTGACACGCCAACAGCGCATACGTGTAACACGAAATTTTGTTTCATAAATTTTAGCACCTCTGACTGTGCGCATACTCAATTCTTTGTTGCCAATAGAAATTAATGCAGAAGTTTGTGGATCGGGATAGTCAATCATTGCTGCCGAAAATTGTAAACAACCATAAAGCGGTAGCTGCCTGGCCATTTCTAGATATTCTTTTTTGAAACCATGTTCCTGTAAATTGCGTAGCTTTTGCCGTATTTCTGGAACTGCTATAATCCATTCGCGATCCACATCACTTACTGTTTGTATAAATAGTAAATTCAAGGCAACCGAATCCTGTAATAAATTCATATCATATATTGGATTCCAATAGCTTTTGCGTAAAAGAATTTGGCAAGGTTTTGCCTGTAAACGTGATAAAAAGGGCGATTCAAAATCCATAAGTCTACGTAATAGCACCACAGTATCCTTCGCATCTTTGCGCATCAAAAACAAACAGAAATACGGTACTAAATGCAATGGCAAATGTATACTTTGGCATACTTTTTCCAATAATATGCCGGAATTGTCACCTATATGACAGTTGACCTGCAACTGATAACCGTTCATGAGTATAACTTCCTGTGTTGTTTCTTGTGTTACGTCCCCAAAGTCCTCCAGTATACTTTCTGCTGCAGCCGTTTCCTGTTGAGCATTAAGAAGAAAATTTTGAAATATATCAAGCTTCGATACCCGTACATCTTGTCCAATTAACTGCAAATAATGTTCAAGTGCAGCGCGTCTTGTTTCAAGTTGTCCATTAGTTAAAGGTAATAAACGTTTAGGCGGAAATGCTGGCAATTGTATATTTAACTCCGAACAACGCCGTCGTAACTGTTCGTGGAATGCATGCATTTGTTTATATCTCAAACAACAGTGATAACTGCCATTAATATAAATGTTGTAACCTGTGTAGGAGTTGGTACCAGTTGATTCTTCAACGGTATAAGGTATTGAGAAGTGCATTATTTCGTTGTACTCTATTAGCTCTTCCCGATAACATTAAATATCTATCATTTCGAACAATAACAAAATGTTCTTATATATTACTATTTCTTTTTACATTAGTCACCGTTTTCTGCTATATTCATCACTTTGTTAATTAAAAAAAATTTGGTTTTTGTTGATTACTGACAGTTTAGCACTTGACATTTGACATTTCTAATTGCGATTGCAAAAAAAACTATTCCCAATAGATGTGCTCACAGAATAGCTATAATCAGTGTTTAAAATATGTAATTACTGAAATAAGAGGTAGAAACTATACGTCTACTCCGATAGACGATAGATAATACATATCAGTTCATAATTTTTAGAAATTATCATTCTATTTTATCCTTCTCCATATTATCAATTGTTGTTCAACGCCTTGCTCACGATGTGCGGTATGCGACCACATATAAAATTATTAAATTGATGTGTTTTTACAGCACTACGTATATACGTGCAATATGTGGTGGTAATTCAAATTAATATTTAACTTTTATTGCACAAGGCCTTATATTTTGTAAGCATATCACAAAAGAACAACCGCTTATTTTAAAAATAACATATGAAACAACAACAATGCTGACATATTTAATCCAAGCTTTTTGAAATCGCTTAACTAATAAGCAGCTCAAATCGCTTAATCGCCACAACTAAAAATTCGTCTATTGTGAATGACTTTTGGAAGCACCTACGAAATTTCCAGTTATCTGTCAACGAATAATTTTGTTAATTATAGGTATATCGTATGGTCATTATTCGTAACAAATACATTACGTTTTCTATTTATTAATTGACTGTTAAAAAGCATGAAAATTCATATTTTATTCACAATCATATAAAAAAAAATATTCTTATCAATAATTGAAGAGAATTATAGTTCATTTTCTAAATTTTAACTTTAAATTTTATTACGTTTTATTACGTGTTTTGTATATATAACCCTAAAAAAATTTCCATTTTGTCTAGAGTTGCCATCAGAAATAGTGCTTATTTTGTTTGTTCTTTTGTGATATGCTTAAAAAAAAAAGCCTATTATTGTTTATATAAATTAAATAAAAAAGAAAACAGTACTGTGAACACAAGATAGCAGTTTTTAAGCTTCTCATGTCAAATGTCACAGTGTTATAGACATGAACGATTTCATAATGGTTCAAACTGGCGATATTTAAACTACTGATGTCTTGGAAATCTTTCATATGTACACATAATGCAAACAAATTACATTTTGAATATAAATAATTAATAAAGCTAAACTTAAAAATTAAAATAAATAATAAATTAAAAGCAATGATCGGAAATCAGGAAATTTTAAAATTTCCTTTTATAACAAAATTAAAAATAGCTTAGAAAATTTATATGTTTGTGGCAGCACCAAAAAATATAATAAAAAGAACTGTCAACAAGGCACAAAGGAGACAACAATATCCGCAGTTCCCGCCAGTAGTAGTTTGGAAAAAGACAAAGCAGCACGTGAATAAAACGTAAAAACACAAATCTTAACTTTAAGAATATTTTATAATAACTAAGTATAAGAAATAAATAAACTTATCCATTACCAATACGGAGTGTTCAATTCGAAATAAAACCCAACATAACAAACCACTACATTGGTGACCAAGCCGACGTCGAATATATAAAAAAAAAAAATGGCTACTCAAGAGCAAAAGATAACCGAAGACACTAACCCAATCAATGAAAACGCAACAATCACTGCAATAAAGCTGCCGATGCCAACATTAATAAAAAACAACATTGACCTTTGGTTTATTCAGTTGGACTACTGGTTCCAAGTCAACAACATAAAGGGCGATACTCAAAAGTTTGGCACAGTTATCGCAGCATTGGATGCATCGCTGTTAGAACAGATTTATAACACAATACAGAATCCACCAGCAACTCAGAAGTACGAAGCTATCAAGCAAGCAATAATAAAAAACTTTGCGGATAGTGAACAAAAACGCATACAAAAATTAGTTAGTGGTTTACAGCTTGGGGATAAAAAGCCATCCCATCTTTTAAGCGAATTGCAACGTATTAGTGGAAGCAAACAAGACGAACAATTACTGAAAGGGTTATGGTTACAACGTCTTCCTGTAGAAGTACAGACATGTCTAGCCACAATTCAAGTGGAACTACCTAAGATGGCGGAATTGGCAGACAACATAACCGAAACAATCCGTATAAACTCAACAATGCAAGGAACTTACGTCAATGCAGCTAACGTCCCTGCAGCAGCTCATATTCAACGTGATGCACAAATCGAACAACTTCAACGAGAAGTGACCAGACTGACGAAAATGGTCTCGAAATTATCAACCGAACACCGCTCAAGAACAAATCAACGTTCACGTTCAACATCCAGAAACCGGCAATGTCATGATGATAGTGAAGAAAAGACCAGTACAAATTGTTGGTATCATAGAACATATGGGTCAAATGCAAAAAATTGCAAGCAGCCATGCACATATGGCACAAAAAACTAAAACCGACTTCGTCTACGGCGGCAGAGGAAGTTGTAAACGAAACATCTACAAGACTGTTCGTCTATGACAATAAGACAAAAAAATCATTCCTAATAGACACGGGTGCAGATGTTTCACTTATTGCCGCCAAACAAAAAAATTCAAATACAAACAATAAGAACGAAAGAATACTCTACGCAGCAAATGGTTCTATGATCAAAACATTTGGAGAAATAGAGATAACTCTAGCTCTTGGCTTACGAAGAAATTTCACATGGCCATTTATTATCGCAGATGTAAACACTTCAATCATCGGTGCAGATTTTTTAAATCATTTCGGATTAATAGTAGACATAAAAATGAAACGATTGATCGACACATCAACAAAGATTTTCTCAGCCGCAAGCGAACGTAAGGTAAATGCGCAAAAAATATCAACTGTGAACACATCTTGCAAAATTGCAGATCTACTAAAAGAATACATCGACATCACTAAACCAACACCGACAAATCGCCAGGTGACCAAAGTCACTCACCACATATTAACAAAAGGTCCACCAATATGTGAGAGACCACGTAGGTTACCTCCAGACAAGCTAGCAGCAGCAAAAGAAGAATTCCAAAACTTAGTCACAGCCGGAATATGCCGTCCATCAAGCAGCAATTGGGCTAGCCCCTTACATATGGTAAAAAAACCAGACGGTAGTTGGAGACCTTGCGGAGATTACCGTCGCTTAAATGCAATCACCATCCCTGATCGTTACCCAGTTCCTCACATACATGATTTTGCACACATGTTATATAACCAAAAAGTTTTTTCAACCATCGACCTGATTAAGGCATATCACCAGATACCAGTTGAACCGGGGGATATTCCAAAAACGGCGATCATAACTCCATTTGGATTATTTGAATTTACTAACATGACATTCGGACTTTGCAATGCAGGTCAAACATTTCAACGCTTCATTCACGAAGTATTACGAGATCTCGAATTCGCCTTTGCCTATATTGACGACGTCATTATTGCATCAGCAAACGAGGAAGAGCACAGGCAACACTTGCAACAAGTATTCGAACGATTCAGAAAACATGGTTTAATAATAAACGTATCAAAATGCGTTTTTGCTCAAAACACAGTAAAATTTCTTGGTTATCTCATCAGTGAAAAGGGCATTCAACCTCTACCAGATCGAGTGAAGAGCATCAGCGAGTACCCGCTTCCAACAAAAACAAAAGAATTAAGAAGATTTCTAGCATTACTTAACTTTTATCGCAGGTTCGTACCAAACGCTGTAGATTCTCAAACTGCACTACAACAAATGATAAAAGGAAACAAGAAGAACGACAACACACCGTTATGCTGGACCGAAGTGAACAAAACAATCTTCCAAAAATGTAAAGATGAACTAACAAACTCGACACTACTTGTTCATCCGTCAAAAACTGCTACGCTTGCATTACAAGTAGACGCCTCGGATAAAGCTCTCGGCGCAGTTCTTCATCAAGTGACAGACAGCACGTTCCAACCACTCGGTTTTTTCTCTAAACGATTAACAGATACACAAAAACGATACAGCACATACGATCGTGAGTTGTTAGCCGCATATCAGGGCATAAAACATTTTCGACATATGTTAGAAGGTCGTGAATTCGTATTAATAACTGACCACAAGCCACTCACGTTCGCATTCCAGCAAAAGTCCGACAAGGCTTCACCACGTCAAGTCCGACAGCTTGATTATATAGGTCAATTTACAACGAATATCGTTCATGTCAGCGGAAAAGACAACATCCCAGCAGATTTTCTCTCGCGGATAGATAGTATTAGCATCCCAAAAATCGACTACGATTGTATAATTGGATTACAACGATGTTGCCCACAACTACAAGATATCAAAAACAACAATTCCATCGAAATCAAACTTTTATCTTTACCAACAATATCAGATAAAATTTATTGCGAAGTTTCAACTGGGCGAATTCGTCCTTACATTCCGCAGAAATACCGGCTACATATCTTTAAAGCTACGCATGGGTTGTCTCATCCCAGCATTCGGGGCACAACAAAAATGATAGCTGAAAAATTTTTCTGGCCTTCTATAAATGCTGATATCAGAAACTGGACCCGACAATGTATCCCATGCCAACGTTCTAAAGTGCAACGTCACAACCGTTCACCTATTTGTCAATATGAACTCGCTGAACACAGATTTGAACATATAAACATAGACATCGTCGGCCCGCTACCACCATCAAATAACTGCACATATATATTAACCATCATCGACCGTTTCAGCCGATGGCCAGAAGCAATTCCGATCCCAGATCAAACAACGGAAACCATCGCAAACGCACTGATTACTCAATGGATCGCACGTTTTGGCGTACCCTTACGTATCACAACAGACCAAGGAAGACAATTTGAATCTTCATTGTTCAACCAACTAGCTGAAGTTATCGGTTGCAAACACTTACGAACTACGAGTTACCATCCTCAAAGTAACGGAATGGTGGAACGATTTCACCGCACATTAAAAGCAGCCTTAATGTGCCACCAAACAACTTCTTGGACAGAAGTTTTACCAATAGTATTGTTAGGTCTACGCACGACTTTTAAACCAGACATTGGAGCTTCTGCTGCTGAAATGCTATATGGCCAAACTCTACGTTTACCGGGCGAAATAGTAAGCAACCCTAGCCACAGAAATATAAATC